CCAAGGGCTGGAATAATATTGCTCAGGAAGAGAGAACTCTGCACTAAGGTCATAAATGGCCCTGGAACACGTCTGAGGAGTCTTGGAGAACAGACAAAGTGCTAGAGACTGTGTGCATACAGTTCCAATTTTGCAAAAAACCAGAAAAATACAGATAGGCTTTCTCTCAGAGATTCCCAAAGAGATGATTTGGAAGAAACAATGTCACCACTAATAGCTAGAACAGATTCACACAAAACTAGACCAGATTAACTGCCTCTTTTGAAAGGGTCACTTGCCTGATGTATCTGGGGAACCCTGCAGACGTCAAGATTCAAGGAATGTTCCCAGGGGCTTGTGGTATCACTCTGTCCGGGGACCGGACTTATTCATTAAAAATGTTTTAATTGACATGTAAATCATACAACAAAATCTACCCTTTTAAATTACATAATCCAGGATTTTTAGTTTATTTACCAAGTTGCATATCCATCACCACTAATTCCAGATGTCCTGTTCATTTTTATCAGTGACCCAGATGATGTCACAGAGAGCTTGCAAAATCAAATCTGATGGCTGACACTTTGTCCCTAGGGAAAGAGCCTGGCACCCAGGGAGGGTTTGGGCACCTGCTGGCAGAGGAAGGGAAGGCGGGATGAGATTCTTAATTGGTTCCACAATTAGGGGACACCGAGCCATGGTCATGGTCATTGGTAGGACAGAAGCAGCAAGAGCTGCTGGAGGTTCGAATCACCCTGCAGTGTCCCGGATGTGGTCTGACTGCACCACCTGGGGACCCAGGGAGGGGGTGGCATGTGGAGGTGTGGGACAGCTCGCTCTCCTGCTCCTCACCCAGCAGGGCCATCTGACACTAGCTGGATGACCACGGCATTCTTTTCTTCTTCCTTCCAAATCTGCTTTGCACATAGAGTAAATGAACCATTCTGAGACCGCACTTAATGAAACAGATTAATTTGGAGAACGGCTCTCTTATCTCCCCGGCTGCTAGGGCAGCGTGGGAGGGAACGATAGTGCCTGCATCAGCTGGTCCGCTCTGTCAGGACGCTGGGCTCTTGGGAGTGTGTGGTGTCCACAGAGACTTGTAACACCCTGGGCCGGGACCTTCCGGGACCAGGAGCTCCGGCTTTTCCCTTCCATTTAGTTCAGCTGGGGGTGGTGGCTGCTGTGAGCTCCACCCTTCTGGTGCTGTTTCTAGGGAGCTTTGTGGGGGGACTTCTGGGGGGTGGTGGCAATCCCTGGCTCCCACACCTGTTCGGCTGTAGCAACTTTCACACTTCTCCCACCCCCCTTCCAAATCCTTGCGGTGTCTCACGGCTAGTTCAATGCCCACCTCTTCCAGGAAGCTGTCCGCAGCCACCCCCTGCTGGCTCCTTTCTCTGCATGCTCGGATGCGACACAGTCACATACCACGTTCTGGTGGCTTCAGGAGCCAGAGGGGGTTGTGCAAGCTGTACTCCGGCCCCGGAGAGCAGGGACCAAGGCTGACACTTCTCTGCCCTGCTCCAGAGCTCAGCAGGTAGTACGGAGCGCCATTCCATCAGTCCTAGTAGGAGAGTTAAGTCCTGCTCCAACCGGGGTGTTCGCTGTGAGGCACCAGCCGGGTCCCCCTTTACAAATGGCGCACTCCCCGCACCAGCTGCTGCACGTGCTGGGGTGTCTCTCAGGCCCTACAGAAACTGCCCTGGGCGATGACAGTTGCTGGCCTAAGGTTGTGGCAATTCTCTCCAATGATCAGCAGACATGCGGATATAAAGACCTGCTCCTTTACTCCATCTTGGGACAGCTCTGAAGTCACCTCCCTGTAGGGTCAGAGCTCCCCAGCCAGACTGCACTGCAGCTCAGCTGCTCCCTCTGCCCCATCCTGCTCCCTTCCCTCCCCGTCTACATCTATTGATCCAAAGGAGGCACCTCAGTAAGTGCCCTGCCTGCTAATCTCCATCCCAGACTCTGCTTCCCAGGGAACAGAGACTCTGACAGGTCGTTCGTTGCCTCAGTTTGTTCACTCTGCAAAATGGAGCAGGGTGGGGGAGGAGTCGAGAGAAACCTGCACCCCCAGTAGGTGAGCACTCACTCAAGGTCAACACAGGCAGTGGGTCAGCAGCATGGCCAGGACTCAGCCCTCTGGGAGCCTGCTCCTCTGCCTGCACCTGCTGGGTGGGTAGCTTGGGGCGGGGGGGCGGGGAACCCTCTGCAGGCCCCCCTCCAGCCAGCAGGGCTCTGGGGACTGAGCACCTGAGGCATGCTGCTGTCTGAGGAATGCTTGAAATACTCATTTAGAACATTCATATCATGAAATGCATCATTTTGTCTGAAATCAAACATCTGAGGAGTCTCCCAAAAGAAACAAGTGGTTACTAGTTGTTTAAGTTTTGAGAACATTTTTCAGGAAAACAACCTATGAACTGGTCAGGAGCTTCACCTTCTCACAGCTCAACTTTAATCACAGAGCCCCTGGGAGCAGCCCCTGGAGTGTGGGAGCAGAGTCGGCAGACCCCTGCACTGGAGGGAGCCTTGCCTGCCTGGGCAGTTGATCCTGGAGGGAATGCAGAGCAAAGCTCCCCAGGCTCACAAGTGAGATCCCGGGTGGCAGCCCACCCTCGCTGTAGGCATCTCCCCTCCTCTCCCCTTACAGTGTTTCCCATGTACCTCGGACTCAAGGGTGGGCCAGCGCTAAGCCTGTTTCCAGGGGCCTTACAAGGATTAGATCGTTCAAGCCTCCCACTTAGTAGACCCACTTTACAGAAGAGGAAATAGGGGCATGAAGCAGTCTGCCCAGGTCACACAGTTAGGGAATGGGGGAGGCAGAATTCACATCCAGGGCCTAATTCCAGGGCATGTGTCTCCGACTTCAACAACTGGGACGAAAAGCAGGGAGGGCACGCCCAGCCTGGCGTCCCGCCGGAGCTGGGCTATGATGCAGACTTCCTGCTCCAGGCTACAAGGCACCACACCATCCAGCTTCAGCTACCAAGACGTTTCTTCCTTGAGCCCATCTTTGGTCTAGCTGAACACTGTCTTCTTCCACTCCCAGCTAGCTTCCTCTGGTTTGGGTCCCTATGAATGCGAGGCAGCTCTCCCTTAGCCTCCGTGTAAATCTTTCATGAGTTCATTGGCGTGAATGTTCTTTCCCTGCAGCCTCCTCTTCCCCGGCCCCGTCCCGTTAGCCTCTCCTCCTGGGACATACTTCCCATCCCTTTAATCATCTTTATTGCCTTGCTCTGGACCCTGTCCCGGGTCCACATCCTTTGCGAGGTGCGCTGACCTAACCGGGCATCTGTTAACACGAGCGTGGCTCAGCGGAAGGTCAGCTTCCCAGCGTGAGCTCCTCTTCCTATAGCCCGGGGTCACGCTGCTCTCCGGAGGGGTGCTTGCCGGGCCAGGCGGCCTGGCCCACGAGCCAAGGTGTGGCTGACCTGGATGCAAGGCAGAAGCCTGCCACTGCTCCTGGGTCAGGGGGTGACCTTGCAGTCAAAGCTCGGGGACTCCCCGCACCTCCAGACATAGACTAGGGAGCAGCGGGCAGGGGAGGAGGGACACCCAGCCTCTGCTCTCGCTGACTCTTCCCCAGTCCCCCGAGAGCCCCATTCCCCTTTTAGAAGGGTGCTCCCTGCTTCTTCCCCCTGCCAGGTGCCCAGAAACGAGGTGTCAGCCTCTGTGAAGCCGCATAGCACTGAGCCATCACGGCACCCTGGTCAAGCCTGGCCCGGGGCTTGGTCCAACTCGCCTGGTTCAGTTTCCCCTTTTCCTGCTGCTACGTAACGTGCCTAGTGGTTCTGCTTTCTAAGCCAGGACGGCCTTCCTCCTAGTTAGCGGTATGGTTACTGTCCCCTGGGAAGGCCGCAGACTCACTAAATCCACCAGCTGATGACGAGTTCTGGGTGCCCCATCCTCCAGCCAACCCGAGCTGTGGCCACCACCCAGCACTCCTTGTTCAGGGCCCACATGTGGAGGGAAGGCCCAGGAACCCCGGCCAGCCACAGCCCCAGTTTCAAGGGGCAGCAGGAGAACATGTACCTCTGCTTTCCGAGCAAGGGATGTCGCCTGGACTGCTCCTTGGCTCTCTGAGAATATTCTCTGTTTGTTAAAGGTAAAACCACAGGCCATCACTTTGATCTAAGAAGAAATTCCCTATAGAGGCACACGCCTCATTTTAATTCCCAGGCAGAAGCCTTTTTTCTCTTTCCTTCTTTCCTGCCTCCTTCCCTTCCTTTTTTTTTTTTTTTTTATATTTCCAACCAGAAATAACTGATGCATATCCAAACAAAAAATACACTCTAACCCTGCTTTATTACGAATGTCCACAGACTACAAACATCGCTCTGTACCTGGAGTTTTTCACATGAAATATACTAGGAAGACCTTTCCATGCAAGAAAGGCTCTAAGGGAATGAAGGCAGGGCTTCCTGGGATGCCCAGCCTCAGCTGCTCGTGTATCCAGAGCTGTCTCGGGGCACTTTTTCCGGCCCCTTGCTATCACCCAGCACACCGAACTGTGGGGAGACCCTGGGTCCTGCCCTAGTTTAAGTGAGCTCCTCCAGGCACTGGAGGGCAGGTGCACGTGAGGCTGCTGATCTGCGTTTCGCCTGTCACTGCAGAGCCGAGCACGGCCAGGGACGACTTGCAGTGATGAGGGAAGAGCAGGAGACACAGATACCCTTGAAATCGCGAGCTCTGGAGCCTCCTGGAGGCCATGTTTCAAAACACATGTCAGCTGGGACCTAATCCCTTGAGGACTGAGGTCCTTGCGGCAAGTGGAAAGAGCCTTTCTCTTTCTGAGCTGTGGAACCTGCACCCCGTCCCTGGACTCCTGAAGGGATCCATTCCCTGGGCCAGTCCCGAGAAGTGGGGCTCCTGCTTCCCAAATGGTACCTGACCCCACTGCTTCATCTCATAGGTAACAGCAGGTCCCCGGGAAAAGCGAAACCCAGGCCAGAACTGACGGAGCTACAGATCCTGGCCAAGAACAGAAAACCCGAAGCTCTCGACGGAGTCTCTCCTACCTCCGGTCATTTCTCCGCCGCCGGAACAGCTTCTTGGTGTGGGCGATCTCCACTTCGTGGGGCATTGGGTGGTAGCCCTGTGTGGTGTGGGAGGAAGGGGGATCGTGAGTAACTTGGGAAAGAGAGCAAAGACCTTCTTGCACGTAACTATTGATGATAACGTCTATGACCAAAAGAAACTGGGACTTTGGAAAGACTAGACTCTGACCGCCAAATCCAGACTGAAAAATGGAAAATGGGAGGGTGAATCAATTTCCCACCAGGCCATGATGCTGGAATTACAGAACCAAAGAACAGTAAGGAGACAAAGGGGACCTTAGAATGTGTCATATCCAGTCACTCAAATTCCAGGTGACAACACTCACGGCCAGAGGGGTGAATGAACCCGTTCAAGGTCTTGCAGAGATTTAGCAACGGAGCTGGGACCAGATCCCGGATTCATGGCTGTATGTCCAAGGACAAGTTACTCTTTGAACACTCATGACTTCTCTAAGCCTCCCGACACAGTGGGAATGTCAGTATCTTCTCTGGGCTGTTGAGGGGACCAAGGAGATGCAGCCCCTTGCAAACTCTGAGCCTCATGCAGACGCAGTGTGCTAGGACCCCGGGTGCCTCACCCTGGTCCAGGACGGCCTGTGCAATTCTGCCTCAAGACCCTCATTCCTCACACTCCTGGGGAGTGTTTAGGGGAAACATGACATAGTTCAATGCTTTTTTAAACTTTAAACTGGGGAAAATCCCAAGCATGGTCTTTTGTATATTGTCAGCGGGACAACAACTATACACCTATGTCAAGGCTGGAGATGGACCCTCTGCTTATAACACGAGGCTGATCCTGCCAATGCCAGGCTCCAGGCAGAATTATCTGCCGAAGCTGGGCTAATGGCCAGCTCTGTTCTTACCATCGCCCTTCTCCCAGCAGAGGTGTGTTCTGGTGGGACATGGGGGCGAGCACTGTCATCACATTATGGGCAGTCTCTGAGGGTGTTGGGCAGGGGGTGGTAGAGGGGACCCTAGCCTGGAAGGCTGGAAGGAGGGGGTGGTTTGACTTGGGCCTGGGATACCTGTGTACAAGTCCTGGTGCAGTCTACAGCCTGCGTGTGACAACTCCCCCCCCCCCCCCCCCCCGGCCAATGCCACGCACGAGGCCCTGCACACACACAAGGTGAGAGGGAGTGACAGGACCCAGTGTGCTGGAGAGTGGTCAGTGAGCGTCCATTTAGCCCCCTCCCCCCCACCCTTTATAGACAGGGAGCCTGAGGCCCTGATCCTCTATGGTAGCAGCCCTCTGGTTTCAGGGTCCACCGTGGAGGGCTGTCCTGGCTGCCTTCTCAGGGCTTAGCCCCTGACTGGGGTGGGGTGGATGTTGACAGCTCTGGCCAGTCTCAAGGAGCTTCCCAGGGAGGGGTAGTTGGAGGACAACAGGCAATAGGCTCAGGAGGACACAGGGACTCTGGCATTATGGATGCATGGCCTAGCCTCCTACTGAGTTCAGGGAGGGAATGACACATTTCAACATTTATTGTTATAACACTCCCTCTCTCCTACCCTGTCTCTTGTCTCTAACAATCTGGCCAGAAAGGCATGAATGAATTCCGGGCTCCAGGCAGCCACAATGGGCCTCGCAGCCTTAGGATGTGCTTTGTTTAATGGTTTTCTCAAAGGATATTATTTGCTTTTCTTTAATACAAAACACAAACAAGGAAAAACACCACGTCTTCCCCTCTCATTTCCCCTCTCCCATCCTGACCCAGCTCCGGGCTGGCCCCTTCCCTCCCTCCTGGCCTCGGGTCACCGCAGGAACACACTGGGTGTGCCCCACGCAGACAATGGAAGGAAGCTGAGGCTCCCTCTCAAGCTGGCGGCCTGGATCAGGATCTCACCGTGAGGCCGGGCAGATGGAGCTCTCCGCAACACCGGGCCTTCCATGAGCCCAGGACGGGCGGCTGCCCTTGTCTGGGCTTCAGAGTCCGGGGCTCTGCCCTCCATCCTGCCCTCCTCCTCCACGAACCATAGCAGGAGGAGCTGCCCTCGGGGGACTCAACCTCAGCCGGAGTTCTAGCTCTCCACCAGACTCAGGGTGGCCCAGAGGGCCTGCCATGCCACTCGGGGCTTCTAATGAAGCCATTGCTGTGGCCTCTGTGTCCATCCATCTATCTCCCCCCAAATTAATATATATGTGTGCCTGCAGAGAAGATGTCATAGTAGTCAAAGCATGGATTCTGCAGCTGTACTGTGAGCAGTCAGCTCCCGGCTCTTCCTTTTGATGATCGTGGGACTTTGATAGCTAACCTCACCTTGACAGCACTCGGTTTCCACATCTGTCATAACAGCATCAGCCTCCTCGGGTCCTGGTGAGGCTTAGCTGAGTTGATAAGCATGTAAAGAATGTAGCCTAGTGCCTGGTATGTAGTAAACCTCCGTAAGTCTCTCCAGTGGTACCTCCATCACCCTCACCTTCATCATCTTCCCCATGGTCCTGACACTGCTTAGGGCCAGGTGGGCCCAAACCAGCAGGCTGTGCTGGTCCCTCTCCTCAGGGAGCCCCCGGTCCTGGCACAGAGACTGGCTGAGGTGGTTTGCAGGGGGTTGTGGCGGGGGGAGACCTCAGGTTAGGGAAGGCAGATTAGCAGAGGGCATGGTGACCCAGGTATGGAGCTGGAGAAGGAGGGAGAAATTCTGCCTGTGCCTTCTTCAGTGCGAGGCTGACAGACCTCAGCGGGAGGCCAGAAATCAGCTACAAAAGTGTCAAAGGACAAAGTCTTGCACTTCTGAGGCCCTCCCTCCCCAGGAGCAATCCAGGCCAGGGTGCTGGAGGAGAGGTCCCACCCCCAAGACCACCTGGAGCCCCAGGCTATAGGCATCTGGGTGAATAAACGAATGAGTGAATTACATAGGACTTTCAGGTGCTCCTGCTTGAGATAGGGCACACTATTTATGCAAGCTTCGCTGGAGGGCCCTCTGCAATCAGTCACTTTTTTTCTCAAGTGGGTGGTCGCCACCAACTGACACATACAACTCAAGATGCTGCTCACAGTCCTTCTAAGACAAGGGTAACTGGGTGTCAACAGGGGCAAAGATGAGGCCAGCAGATGAAGAAAGAGAAAATCTGTTCTTAGTCACACATCTGCCATCAGGCTAGTTGCTGACCTGGGTTGGCAGAAGTTCTTTACTCACAGGCCAGAGGTAAGACATGAATGTCATGGCAGCATTATTCATAATAGCTACAACTGGAAACACCCTGAATGTCCACTAACTGATGATTGGATAAGCAAAATGTGGTATGTCCATACAACGGGATATATATGACCATTGAAGGAAGTTCTTTTTTTTTTTTTTTAAGATTTATTCATTTGAGAGAGAGAGAGAGAACGAGAGAGAGTGGTGGGGAGGGGCAGAGAGAGACTCTTCAAGCAGACTCCCTGCTGAGCACAGAGCCTGATGTGGGGCTCAGTCTCACAACCCTGAAATCACAACCTGAGCTGAAACCAAGAGTTGGCTGCTTAACCAACTGAGCCACCCAGGCATCCCTAAAAGGAAGGAAGTTCTGATACATGTGACAATGTGGATGAACCTTAAAAACATCATGCTCAGGGCAAGAAGCTAGTCACCGAAGACCACATATTGTACAAAGACCAGGGAAACCTTAAAAACATCATGCTCAGGGAAAGAAGCTAGTCACCAAAGACAACATATTGTTCATCTTTACGAAATAACCAGAATAGGCAAATCTGCAGACAGAAAGTAGATGAGTGGCGGCCAGGGGCTGGGGAGAAAGAGGAAGGGGAGTGACTGCTAATGAGTACTGTGTTTCTTTTTGGGTGATGGAAATATTCTGGAATTAGACAGTGGTGATGGTTGCTTGACCTTGTGAATATACTAAAAGAACAATGAACCGTATGATTTAAAAGGGTGAGTTTCATGGTATGTAAATCATGTCTCAATTTAAAAAGGTGGGAAGAAAATCTGGGGGCAGTATATTCCGGGTAGAGGGGACAGCAAGTGTTAAAAGAGAAAAAAGAAGATCCAGCCACAATGGAAAGTGTTCCTCTCTCACTCAATTACTCTCCAGAAAGCAGCTGCCCTAAAACATTTTACATAAGATAGGGCTGCAAAGGGCAGCCCGTCCTAGGTAAGAGGCACCCACTGACAAGTGTGACTAATGAGGAATCTGGAAAGGAGCATGAATTGGGTATCTCTAGGCCTGGTCAGGGGAGATGGTACTTTGGCTTTAGACCAGAGATCCCTCCCTGCTTTTTAGAATCTATCCCTCAAGTGGAGAATGGGAAATTTATCAGGCTTGTCAGAATTATCCTTCAAGAGTGGCCTTTGCTATAATTCTTTACTCAACAAATTCTTCCACTCCATGCTTTGCAAGAGGCCCATATGGATGTTAGTCCAGGTAACGTCGGTCCAAGTGTGAGAGCGCCCCCACCTCCATAAATGAGAGCACCGGCCTTCTGGTTTACCAGCTGCTTGGTGGGTCTCAGCAGTCTTCCGTCGCGGGAGCCTCTGTAGCAGTATGCTGGACCACCCCAGGCCCTGCCTGCTCTTCTTCCATTTCTCTGCCTGAGAACCCTTCTTCCCGTCACTCTGAGACCTGGCTGCAGTCCCCCCGCCGCCTCCAACCTCTGACCACTTCTGCTCACGAAATGGGCCTGGGAGACAAGCAGATTATATAAACCAAGCCTCTCCAGGGACAGAGGGAAGATAATACTCCTTCCACATGCAGCGCTGGCAGAATATACGTGCAACACACACACACACACACACACACACACACACACACACCTGACTCGGAGGTCAGCAATGGTGTAAGACGCAGCTCTGCAGGGCAGTGCCTGGTTGCTTCAGCTGCACAAACATGTTATGTAAAGTCCTCCCCTTCCAGGCCAGGCTGAGGCTGATACTCACAACCCAGGGCAGTATTTCTGAGGGATTAAAGGCAAGCCCAGCAGAGCTGCGGGCCCCAGGCTGCGAGTGTAGGGGCCTTGTCCTGAGATGCCAGTATAAACATACAAATCTTGGGTCTGGGGTGAGGGTGCCGTAAGCGGGGGCCAAGGAGCTCACTGAGCAA